TACCAAATCAGACATCAGGAGACTACAACGGACAGTCAGGACTGCTGAGATGATTATTGGTGCCCCCAATAAGGGAGGAAAAGGGCCGGCAAAAACGGCCTATATATAATATATATATAAAACTAGATCTCATATTATTGCATTAAATATAGAAAGCAACAATGTAATGTAAAATAAAGCTCACCACACATAAGCATGCAAAAAGTATCCCAGTCAAACCACAAACACACTGCCAAAAACTCATATAATGTTTGTGTATGGGATAAAGTTTGGGGTGGGGCTGGAGAATGTCCTTTTCAGGCTTTTTTTTCCATTTCAGATGTATTAATTTATCCTGTAATGGACAGATGGTCATATTAACAAAACACACTCTGAGAGATCTATGAAAGGACTGTGAGTGACATTACAGTGCTCCAACTAACGTCTTCATCCACTCATAAAACAGCATGTATCCATCCATACATTCACAAACCATCAAAAATACATTCAAGATTACTTCACAGGGCTGTGAATTACACTGAAGACTTGCAGAAGGAGAGACATCTATCCATCTATCTATCTATCTATCTATCTATCATCTGTTTGTAAGGCCTATGCACAATGATGTGCACTGGCAAGGTGAAGTAGTTAAATTTTGGTCTTTTTCTCACAGAATGTTATTAAGGAACTTGAAATATTGCACACAAATTACGTTTTTTTTTTAAAGCTTGAAAGCATCCCCACTCATTGTAACTAGCCTACATAAAAAGGATACAATTCCTTTTTTTCTACGAAGCTTCAGAATTTCTCCTTTTGTGTTCCACAGTGAAAAGAAATTCATATGGGTTTGGATTGGAACAACTTCAGAGGACATAAAAGACAGAAATTAAATTTTTTGGTGAACTGTTCCTTAAATCTCAGACTGACAAGCACTTCTCTGACAGATTACATGGCATTTTGAAATGAAACAGACATCTGTGGAGATTGTCAAAGATAAGGGAAATACAAGGTCAGATTATTCAGTTATGCTCTTTTATAAGCTCCTCACCTTCCCAGAAAGCACTCTGAGTGACACTGCCCATAGTGTTCTAGGGACTATTTTTTAGATATACAGCATTAGAGTAACCAAATTTTGATGAAAGTGCTGCCGAAAACTACACATAGGAGATTGTAACAATAGTCCCACTGAAGGCGAGCATGATGAACCCATGTGCAGCTTTAGCCTAAATAATAAACCAAAACAGAACAAACCAACAAACACATGAACTAAACTAGATCTTGACATGACCATGAACAAAACTCAGGTTACACAGTACAAAGCTAGACAAGACACAATGGCGACATGAGGGCCATATATATCAAATAAAAGGGGTCACATGACATAATCCAACCAATCAGAACAAGACACATGAACTAGAAAACCATTCAGAACATGACACATAGCACAAAGGAACCAATAGTAGGATCACATGAGGGCAAGGGAAACACATGATATGAGAGGAACCATGACTATGATAAAAAAACATAATAAAGACATGAAAACAATGAACATGAAACAAAACCTAAACAAATGTTATATATTCCCCCCTCTAAGGGTGGCACCTGCTGCCCTAATGAAACACCCACCCTGAAACCAGGAGTCCAGGAGGGTGGTGGAGTGGAGGTGGTCTAGGGGGTGAGGTGGAGGGTCAGGCCCGTGAAGCAGAAATGGACCATGGCATGGATTGTGGAGCAGTGGCAGGCCTGGACCGTGTAGTCAGCAAGACCATGGGCCATGGAGCAAGGGTAGGTCTAGACGTGGAGCAGTGGGCAAAACCATGGGCTGTGAAGCAGTGCTGGACCTGGTCCATGGAGCAATGGCAGGTCTGAAACATGGAGCAGAGGTGGGCCTGGACCGTGGAGCAATGAAGGAAACCATGGACTGTGGAGCAGAGGTGGGCCTGAACCGTGGAGTAGTGGAGGACCTAGTCCGTGGAGAGGTGGCAGAGACCATGGTGAAGCCGGCAGAGCAGGAAGCCAGGGCGAAGCCGAAGACCACCAGGGCGGAGCAGGCGGGACCGAGGATCCCCACGGTGGAGCAGATGACCACCAGAGTGGAGCCAGCAGAGCAGGAAGCCAGGGTGGAGCAGGCAACCAAGGTGAAGCCTGCGGAGCAGAAGACCACCACAGGTCAGGAGGCCATGGCGGAGCAGTGACATGGACAGACCACCAGAGTAACCTTGAACAGTCTCAGTGGCAGTAACATGACAGGCAGAGTGTTCAAAGATGGCCTCCATGGCCGTGGCAGAACAGACAGAGAGTTCAGGGATGGCCTCCTTGGCCATGACAGGACAGGCAGAGAGTTCAGGGAAGGCCTCCTAGGCCGTGACAGGACAGGCAGAGAGTTCAGGGAAGGCCTCCTTGGCCGTGTTAGGGCTGACTGTGAGTTCAGAGATGGCCTCCCTGGCTGTGACAGGGCACACTCCGAGTTCAGGGACAGCCTCTTTAGCCGTGACAGGACTGGCAGAGGGTTTATGTTTGACCACTGTGGTCAAAACAGGACAGGCAGGAAACTCACAGGTTGGCGCCAACACAGGACTGAGCTCAGGGGCTAGAGCAGGCTCTGGAACAGATTCATGGATAGGGGCAGGCTCTGGAGTAGACTCATGGACTGGAGCGCAGTGTACAGCCCAAACACAAAAAATGGCAAGCGCCATCATGGGCAGTACAGCTGATGGAGGGAGGACCTCCGGGTTGGACAGCACTGAGGCCACGGAGTTTGAGTGCGTTGAGGCCACCGGGGTGCCAGCCACTCATACCGACATAATTGGTGGATCCATTACACTGGCCATTTGTCTTATCTGTCTTGGCCCAAGCTCAGCATACGCAGGAGTTTGTGTCCTATAGTCCTCCCAAAAAAATCCTTAGGGGGAATTTCCATGGCCGCCGTGGCGTGACGGGTTCTGCCGTGGCGGCCATCTTGGCTGATGACTCAAGCGTGGCAGCCATGACGTGGTGAGGCCCTGGCTTGGCAAGCATGACGTGAGCAGCCCCTGGCATGGCAGGCATGACATGCCTAGGGGACTCCAGCTTGGTGATTGATTGATTGGTACTGTGGGATTGCAGGGCTCCTCATCCGCACTTCCCACAGTAAATGATGAGCCACATAACAGCATGGCATAAACTACTGGGGGTGTGCACCCGAGTTTGGAAGACAGCATTCACATCATCCAAACGTACCGAACTCTGATGTCAATAAAACCCATGTGCGCACCAAAAGTGCTAGTGTGAAAGCACCCTTTATTAATAAACCAAAATGTGTTACAAAACATGAACTAAACTAGATCTTGACAAGACCATGAACAAAACTCACCAACAGCAGGTTACACAGTACAAAGCTAAACAAGACACAATGGCAACATGAGGGCTATATATAGCAAATAAAAGGGGTCACATGACATAATCCAACCAATCACAAGATCACATGAGGGCAAGGGAAACACATGACATGACAGGAACCAAGACTATGATAAAAAAAAATAAATAAATAAATAAAGACATGAAAACAATGAACACGAAACAAAACCCAAACCTACGTTAGAGATATAAACTCCATCTGCACCTATTTTCACACTTCCTCTGCAGCCAGAAGTACCACTTCATGATTACAAAAGATAACATGCCACTTACACATGATTGAATATAATCAGCATGGCTGATTCTTCAAAGTGAGCACAAGGCCGGTTCAAACACTCTAAACACACCACATCATTATCCCTTACATAGAGCACAATGTATTTGAACTCAAGGAGGAAACCATTTTCAAGCACCAATGTAATTACACCTCTGAATTCAACTACTTAGCCACTAAATGTGCATTTATGTATTCTAAACATTTAGTTTAAACTGCTGAGATTAGGAATACTCAGAGGTGCTCATTCATAGCTCAGGAGATTTTGAGTTCTCATTTATATTTCATTTAACTTTGTTTCAGATCTTTCTCCAAAATTCCATGGGAGAACTAAAATAAACACAAATGAGACAACTGTGGACAAATGGTAAGAGTATAGCGCCATAAAATGAATGTGGGGAGAATTAGCCAGACAATCCTGTGCTGAGGCAGTTTGATAAGAAAAATTTATTTATTCCAGATTTTGCATGTCTAAGCAAATCTGAATGATTTTTTTTTTGTTATCTTCTGCAAACTGGAGATATGAGATTACTCTGGTCCGTTTCGCAGGAGAAGCAGGGGTCTTCGTTTGCTCTCCATTGGATCTCATTGGTGTCTCAGAGAAACAAATGAGATATTCAAGAGATCTTTTTATTTATTTATCTATAATATGGGTCAGTCAAAAGAGTTTTCCCACACAAATTCCTGAATGCACACCAGAAGGAAACTTCAAGTTAGACCTGATGAGAATTCAATGACATATTCTTGAAAGAAATGTCTCAATCTCAATATACATACAATCAGTTATATTGTGTTTGATGGTTTGCTAGATACAAATGTGTCATTTTTATTAGTTATGACATGATGAAAAGATCTGTATATTGTCTTCTGACTTAACTATACAGCAATTGTTGTAACTTTTCATGAATCCTACACTCTGGCTATCATGGCATTATGTAATAAGTATGTAATAGCCTAGCAATATTTTTTAATGCATGTGTACCAAATTAAACTTTGTACATATCTCATATCTATGTACATAAAAAGTACATATCTAATTCGCTACTGAAGATATACTCTATACAATTACAGACTAGCAGAATTAGAAAAGAAACCTAAAACCCGTTATTTGGGGCTTATAAGCTCTTAATAAGTCAAGTCAAGTCACCTTTATTTGTATAGCGCTTTATACAATACTGATTGTGTCAAAGCAGCAAAGCATAAATAACAGTAAAGCAAACATTTTTAACCAAGAAGGATTGCTTTACCAACGCCACACTCTTGTAATTCGCCTTAAGGTGCTGCTAACGCCACATGTAAACGATGTTTGCCAACAATGAACCTGTTACACGGAGGGAACAGCATTACTTACTTGAATCTCCCTTGGCAGTGTTGACATTGATCCCCAGCCCATCCGCGTTCACAGACGCAAGTTCCATTGATACATCTTCCAAATATGCAGTTTTTATCACAGGTTTTAGAATAGGATCCTTCAGTGCACACTAACAGGTAAAACACCATAAAAGTGAACAGGTACGTCCTGAGCTCCTGAATCCTCCATAGGAAACACCTCGTGGAGAAGCGTGGAGACATTCTTCTTCTGCCAAAATCCATCCTCCTGATCTCCTCTGATCTAAGCATAGAGATGAGGTTACAGCCTTCATTAGACTTTAGCTTTTAAACTGTGAATTCTCCACTCCTCGTAGTTTTGTGACAATTTGTAGTTTGTTGTCATACAATGCATGAATTTATTAACGTTATGTCCCATATGTAACGTAACTTTCTCCAGTCTGCTCTGAGTTCTCGAGGTAAAGCATCCACCGGCGCGTCATTCCCAAAAAAAAGACTTGTTGTCCAAAACCGCCTCATTTATATCATTCCAGAAATAGCGACATTTGAGATACAGATGTGCAGTTATTTTCCTAAACTGTGCCTCCACCGTCGCAAAAATAACAGCATGATTTCAGCATGACTTGTCAAACAATAAGCCTTGCTGATGTTGCCATTTCGCCTTTGTTTCTCTCAGAGATGCACTCGGAGGGGAATGACAGCGCAACTCCCATCCGAAACAATGTACAGTTCCCCGCTGCTGCTGCGCTCAGAGCCGACGAATCTCACTACGGGAAAGGTTTGGCTTATGAATATTAAGTAGATTACGCTGACGTTGCTTGGTAACTTTCCTGTAGCGTCCAATCGGTCACGTGACGCAATTAATATTCAAGAGCCAATCCTTTATCGTAGTAGGATAGGAAACTCCTAGTCGTCTTACATTTAAAGGGGTCATATGATGCGATTTCAAGTTTTCCTTTCTCTTTGGAGTGTTACAAGCTGTTCGTGAATAGATAAGATCCCTAAAGTTGCAAAGACTAAAGTCTCAAAACCAAATAGATATTCTTTATCAAAGTTAAGACTCTGCCACGCCCCCCTAAAACGGCTCGTTCTAACACGCCCCCACATACCTACCTCACTATGTGGAAATATTAGCATAATGCGGCCCAAATGTGCATGCAAAGAAAGAAGGCGTGGTTTCAGTAACCACAGTTAGTGTTGATGCAGCCATGTCAGGGAGACGCTGTGTGTTTCTAGGCGAAAGCAAAAGCACTTTATTTGGCCTTCCGAAAGTAGATGCATTTAGGAATCTTTAAGATTACTTGCAACAGAACAGCAATGCATTTTATGGACGACCGTTTCATGAACCTAGGAGAGGAGGTAATTCTGACTTTGCTATGACAATCTGGCGCTTCTGAATCAGCTACTGTTTTGTTATTAGTTTAAGTATTTGCTATTGACTGTTCAAATGTGGAGTTTTGCGCATCATGTGTGTGTGTGTACGTGCTGTGTGTGTAAGAGAGAGAGAGAGAGATCACAGTGGAGTCAGCTGTCTTAACCGTGGCTTGTGTACTGCAAACACATACCAGCTTCATCACTGTGTCTATCACGCGACTCTGTTCCCCTTTCGGGCTCTGGCTTTACATTTATTTTGAAAGATGAAGCTCACGATTATGG